ATACATAAATTAAAAATTTTTTATAGTAATCCTGCAAAAAATAATAGTTAACGATGTACTTTTTACTGGCTTGATTAATTATATGTGATTATTTGTGTGGTGGGAATTTTCTATTAATAGATCAATAATACACCGATATCCAAATTATGTGCTGTTGATCAAATTCTTACGGGTGATAAAACAACTTATAAAAACTAGTTTTATGCTTCATTAATAATTTGTGGTATTTTTTTCGATAGACTTTTCATGGAATGCAACAAAGATCAACAACTCCAAATACGCAAGGGATTGACTCAGGGGTAAGTACTTTTTTTTATGCTATTCATGCATATTACCATGGTATTGGACCTGTAATCGCAATCATTAAGTTGATATGTAAATAAGTGAACAAGAAAAATTATGATTTCATACCTTAACTAAAAAGTAACACCTTAATTAGCTTAGAACCAAACTCAGAATAGGCAGTTCTCTTTAAAATTCCACAGAAAAGCGATATGCAGTACTTTTTCCGTGAATTATCAAAGCAGATAAAAAACTTGTTGAACAGTAGTCTTCTAAGGTATAAAAAAATGTAGAAAATTATCAGAGGATTTAATTTTCGTATCTTTAGAGATGTTATTGGATTCTGTTGGAAATCTTGTTGAGGTGATTGATAGGCCCTCTTGATACCTAAGTAGTCTACAGAAGACTTACTGAGTCAAAGTAATGGGGCGTACAGCATGTCCTTTTTAGGTTACCTAAATAATAATGTACTTAACCAAACTTAAAAAGTCCCTATAGTTATAAGCTATTTATATAAATTGAGTGTGAGAGTGTTAAAGAGAATTATAACGAAAAACAATTATACTAACAGTTGTTTTCTTATAGAATGTAAATTGATGGCTGCAAAAAATGTAACTTGTTTAATTGATTTTTACATGCTGTACGAGTATTTCAAGAAAATACGATTTTTGAAACGCTACACTTATCCTCATTATACAACAGAATTTTGCACAGTGATGAAAAATGAAAAATTTTAGCTTTATACTTAAATCTATTGTGTATAGTTTTGAGATATTTTGTCTCAAAAGTATTGACATGTCTTACACAATACTTAATATATTTAAATCATATACAATTATATTAAGTACATTAAAAGTAAAAGCGATTTCTTGAATAACTTTCCTATTTTTGAAATATACTTATCCCAAGTCTATATATAGTATAGTTTAAACCATACCTTTATACCCTTGTACACTTGGAAAAATACTGATCAAACTTGGGACTACTTTTTGATTTGTTTACACGTAAATTACAATAATTTATAAGTACAATTACAGTGTGTTACACAATATGACAGTGTTATTACATTATCTCATTACGAAATTGGTTTTTGATAGCATAATGCACGAAAACTCAAACACACTCAAAGTTCAGATGACACACAAGAAGGTATAAATCTTGACAATCGATGGTTAAAAGAACAGTAAACGCAGTATTGACACTATCGAATTCGATCATAATACACAAGGTAATGCACAATGGTTTTAGGTACAAATGAACTAACAGAAATAATTTTTTTTTATTGATACTATTAAATTCACTCAAATTGCGTTAACCGTAGGTTCATCTTAAAAGACAACTCACGCACAAATGATAATTTCGTTGCATTNGGTGATTAGAAACCCTTCAGTTTTTTAGTATTTTTAATAAATAAAATACGGTCCTACGCGAGTAAGCATCGGCGACTAGAAAGCCAACAGTTTTTTAGTATTATTGATAAATAAAATATGCTCTTGAGAGTAATTATCGATGATTAGGAACAAAACTATTTTACAGTGTATTTATTAATAAAATGTGCTCTTAGAAAAGCAAGTATCAGAGATTAGAAACCGAAAATTTTTTCAGTATTTTCAATAAATAAAATATGCAAGCTAGCATTGTCGATTAGTGACATAACTTTTTTCAAGTATTGTTTATTATGATAGTTTGTTCTCAGGGAAGCAAGTATTATCGATTAGATAGCTAACTGTATTTTTGTATTATGCAAAACTGAAAAATACCTCCAGTCGATGTAGTATTAGAGATTACCGATTTTACTCTTTTTTTGAAATGTTTTTGTAAACAATTTCCCCGTAGACAAGCAAGCATTAGCGATTAACAGCTTAAATTTTTTTCAGGGTAGTTAAGTAGTTAATCAAATGTATCTTTACGCAAGCAAGCGTTGGCGATTAGTTACCCAAGAATTTTTAGTATAATTTATAGATAAGTTGGCTCCCAAATTTATTAAGTTTTTCTTGCCCTACCTGCTTCTACTAGTCAGTTCAAACATGATCCTCTAACGCGTAGCACATACAGTATTAGTAAACGACAAGAAGATGCTAACACTTAAAGAGGCTTAGAATTTCAACTACACAGCTAAATTCACTTTTGAAAAATGGAGTCGACTTCTGGAGGTAAGTATGATAACAATTTATATGTAACATAACGTTTGGATACAGCTGCAAATTATTAGAAAGCCATAAATATGATGTTATTTTCGTCCTTAAAATTGAAAAAAAAAATTTATTAAACTAAAAAAAGTAACGATTCGGCTATTGAACCTATCGAAGATTTCAACTTAAAGTATTAATTATAAAATAAAAAAAATTTCAACTGCTTTAAATTGACCCTTTCATTTTTAAGACTTTTTTACTTAAATAAAATGTGGTATTGGAAATTAGTGCGTACATTAATATTTTGTTCTTTCCCTGTGGAATCCAAGTAACCCTGCGTGCAAGAAAAAAGGCAAAGAATAGATTAATAAGAGACAGGCATTACACAATAGTGTATCTTACAAAATATGTATTTACTAGCGGCCCCCCGTCTTGGCGTCGCCTGAGACTTACTAAATGGAACACCGTAGTGTGTTGACATGTAATGTAAAATGTTATCAGTTGAAAATTTTACATATATTTCTGACACTTCTCAAAAAACAAAAATCTTCTTATTAAAACATATTTGTTCGAAATCCATACAGTTTATTTAATCAAATAAGTAACTGTAAACAAACGAATTGAAATGTAAGTATGCTAAAAATTACTGTGCGTTCCTTATGCCATAAAATAATCGTTAGCCCTAAAGGGCCGTTTATTGGCAGTTTCTCCCGTATAATCCACGAAAAAGGCTATTCCTTAAAGCTGTTGAGATTTAAAACTCCAAAAAAATATATATGTTGAAAAAATTTTTTTTCTCTCATCTCACAACTTTATCATCAGAGCAACAAAGTCCTGGAGATTCATCTCTACATTATTAGTCGCCAAAAGAATACTCATACATATTCTACCTATTTTTAAATCTGGAAGATTTAAGAGATTACTGTGAGGGTACTGATAAGCTAATCTCTCACTCAATGGGTTATTTATTTTTTAATTTTGACACTGCTGTTTCAATCTCGATAAATGTTCTACGTCAGTTTCTTAACACCTAAAATTGTATTCATTAGAGGCACATAACGTTTTTCTTTTAATTCGCCCTCTTGCAACTTTTGGTATGGTTAAAACTTTGGTGAGCCCTAATGACTGTTTTTGTCAACTTTATTAGTTTTAATACGTTTGTTGGCAAAGTAGTTCGACGTCTGATGGCCTTAAAAGGACCGGAGAGCTTCTTAAGTAAACTCTTTCTTGACTGAAGTTTCCAGCAAACATGACTGCCTGGATACCTCAGGGTGATCTTCTCTGGCCTGCTGTTGACGCCCCAGACTGATTGGAAGAAAAATTACCGAAGCTTTAGAGCTAGTTGTAGAGATCTTTCCCAACATCTCCTGGTATAACGTTGAAAACGTTGGTGTCTAAAGCACCTTCTATTTTTTGCAGACTCAGTTATTTTGGTAATCTAAGGTGGGGAGATTGGTTCGTAATGCTTGCCCGTTAGAGACTGTCCCGTTGGCTCAAGTTTTTTTTTCCTATATAGCCGTTAGGTTCGCCCATCGCAGACGTTGGAGAGGATCGGTGATTCCTGGTTGAATGCTTAAGTTGAGAGGGTAATATATTAATATAGGGTCGTTGGTCACCGGGGCTCCGAGCCTTGCGACGAACAACTCCGCTCGTAATGACTGCCAGTGAATGACTGACTTAGCTTAATAGTGGCCGTCTTTAGTTAAAATAGTCTTTTAGTGGACGAATCGTTTCTGGAAATGGTAGTAAAAATGTACTTGTTTGCAAGGTAGTTTAAATTTGGGTGGCCCTTAAAAGAACAGTCTGAGATTAATGATTACGTAGGGAACGTAAATACTTATAATGGCCCTGAAAAGGGCCAGTGGTGAAACTTCCAGCTATCTTTATTATTATTCTTGATGATGAAAAGCTGGCTGCAGGTAGCTTGGCTCTTACCCTCGAAGTCTTTGTGTACAGAGACCGTGATGGAGAGATGTACGCCGCTGACCAAAGAATATCTCGTCTTCGGCTCGTTCTCCGGATAACCAACCGCTCATTGTTTGTCGGGAAAGTGGGCCTAGAGAACACCTTACCTTAGGGTATGGCATTGGGATGACCACTGAGAAGGAAGCCGTTGTGGCTGCCCGTACTTTTCAAGGCTGTCTTCCCTGGCTTGCATTTGTAGTAAATATTCTCTGACGGCACCTGGCCGGATGGTGGAATGGCCACATTACTCTGAATAGTTGAAGCAGGTTGTGCTCTGGCTTGACACGTCTCCTGGTATTCCGCTGGTGACATTATCGGTTAAAAAATTTTTTAATTGGTGTCACTCGTCAATCCTGGAGGTTCAGGGTGGAATTAAACCTAGGTTACTTGACCATTGAAGAAGAGCGTCATCGGTAATCGGGATATACCCAGCTGCACAACTAACATCTACATTCTCGATGCAGTCCGATGTACTGCCGGTAAACAACTGCAGAATTTTTCGAGACGCTCTGGCCTATTATAACCACATTTATTTAAGTATGTTTCAGGTAGCTTCGATTTTATGTCCACGCCACCTAGCGGATTCTACTGAACTAACATAAAAAGTTGGAGTATTTTTGAAAAATTTTTAGCTTATTTGTTGCTATTGTTATTAACTTCTTCAAGATAAAACCTATACTAAAACCATCTAGGAAGTGTCAAGAATCGGTATGCAAATTTTCAGGTAGATCGGTTGAGTAGTTTTCGTGGTTTGCTATTACAACAGTTTTCGTAACTTTGCTTCGTGTATTAATAAGATAAGACAAGTACGTGTGTGTGCGGGCTAAAGATAGAAGAAATACAAAAATTACAACTGAAAATCGTGGCAGACTTTAATTAGATTTTAACAGTCCATCTGAAAGAAGTAAACGCCGAAAAAT